CCAATTTTAGACATGTCAGTGGCTTTGAACTTGCAGCTTTGTTTACCTGGTCACGTCAGATGGAACCAGTTGAAGCCGGCCTCATCCCAATTGCCGAACTCCGCTTTTGTATCTCCAAAAGATTGAGGTCCCAATGGGACATCCAAATTGACCCCTCGAACCTGGAGTTTCGCTTTTGCGACTTGGACGGTGATACATTCCAAGTTTCCAATGATATGACGGTCTTGCAGCTTTTGGAGGCATACCGACCTGAGTGGCGACTTCGGCAGTACAATTCCCGCGAATCCTCTTTCCTCATCCCGGGTACCAGACAGCCTTTCGTACTACGCTCGCAATGCTACAAAATTAGCTCCGGTGTGATCCTGCCCTGATGCGCTAGCCGGCCAAAAAAGACCATGCTACAGGGTTTTCAATTCCTCCTTGACACCCCACTAACACAAAGGATTTTTCGATTTCTATTTTATTTGACCTGGAGCTGTGGCTTCTCCTCGCAATTGACCCACTTGATTGAGGACTGGATTTCACTTTTATCATTTTTGTGAATTTTATCAATTTCGTGATTGGCTTTCTTCTGCAATTCTTGATGCTTCAGCCGTTGTTGCACTATTTCTCGTATTTGTGACAGTTTCACCCATGGAACACAAACGAGACGCGACCGTGGCGGGCTTGTCTTGGCCTGCGAACTCTACTCGTGGGCTCGCTCCTACCGACCCAGTTCAAGTACCAGACGCCTCGACTTCTGCACTATGTCACTCAGGAGCTCCCGACACTACGACCAACCCTACTCCGGCACCTTTGGTAACTGACAGTACGGCACCTGCTACGGGTACACTGGCCCATGCTGATACATATTCAGGACCAGCACCTCCTGGCGTTCCATTTCCGACAGACTCAAGTTCTACACACAACTACTTCCATCGTGCTCAGTTCTCTTCTCGCGTGGTTCAGGTCATTACCCACTCCAACAACACCAGGGAGCTATTCATTGAAGAAATTCCTTTGTTAGGGCATTCCCGATGTCGTGACCCTGAACACTATTTCTATGGTCTCTCCGGCAACTGGGAGTGGTCCCTACGCACAGCGGACTATTGGCGACATCATTTTGAGATTCCCCTTGTACATGGACACCATCCTTTTCACAATGTTCCCATTGAGACGACATCTCCTGGAGATGAACCAAGGCTGACCACCCGGATACATGAATTAGCCAAAGATCTATCTGACACCTTGAAGGCTGCTACGGCATCGGGGGAATTCGATCAGACTTGGGCGATGGTTGAACGCATGAGCTTCCACGATGCTATGGAAGTCCTTCTACAAGCTCCGAATTCCTCTTCTGACTGAAGTGGCCGCCCTTTTGTACATTAGGTTATTACAGGTTCACTTTCACTGGTGTCTTGCCGATTCCGCCAGCGAAGTTCTTCCAAAAAACCGACCTCGCTACATGCGAGGTGTGTGTGTGTGTGTACCATCTGAACAGATGTAAAACTTCTGATTGGTTTTCACTAATTTGCAGGGGGCCCACGGGTCTGATTCCTGGCGTGGGCCAACGAAGCTCCAGGTGTCAGACTAGGATATCAGGAAGGGACGCTTTCCTGACGTACCTGCTTTTTCCGACATAGCAAGGGGCCAAGCTCAGAACCCCAACTACCATGATTTTATTCCTTCACGGTTGCCACAATCTGTAGTTTATGCATCAGAACCTTCCTCAGTACTTTCGCCGAAACCATATCGCCGACAGTATTATGTTTTTTGACTTATTTTCGCCGAGATCCTGTCGCCGACGAACTATGGGTTATTTTGGGAAACAATCGCCGAAACATTATTTTGGATTTCCACATGCTGGTCAAAACTCTATGGAATCTGGTTATGACTACGTTTGACAATTTCGGATGCCCTACATCGTTTGCGAGAAGTACCTCATGTGGCTCTTTTATTCATCTAATAATCTAGGCTGGTTTGCATGTTTCAGGATTCAGTTCCTGCCGGATCATATAATGATCCATTCTTGTCTAGTGTGTCTCTGAAAATGGATGAACATGAGATACACTGGGGGATGATGTTATCAAGACCCCCCAGTTGGTTGCTGGGGTGGTTTATGGCTTGGGGTGAGCGACATTAGACCTCCCCCGAAGGGGTTGAACAGTGTCACTATTGTGGCCATGAGATTACCAAGATGTGGGTTTGTCCCAAAATGTGTGAATTTATTATCATTGCTATTATTGTATCATTGTTGTTATTTCTAATTATTTTCTTATTGTTCCTGTCAGTACTATTAGTACTGTTGGAAGAATCCAATGTTGGGGACACTGATGGAAATGACGATTTTCTAATCCACTGGATCCCGGGGTGCGCGATTCGTTGAAGACTGGGCATTCCGCCGCTGTTTTTTTCCGTATGAAATGGCGTATGAGTCTAAATTCTTAAAATTGTGGGACCCAAAGATTAACATCCCCTGTTACCAATCCCATTTTTCATTGCATTTGACATTCTTACAGCTACCTCCAGATACAATCAGAGATAGGTGAAAATCAGCCACAACTTTGGAATCGGATAAATGCACCATGACTTTCCAGGTTTTGGGGTGACCCGCCCCGTGCGGCGAATTTCAAGGCAAAATTTTACCTTCTCAGCCTTCGTGCATCCAGCTCCTGCTGCAGGTCGGGCCGGTTTTTCGAGCCGGTTGTTGGGTTTGATCATGGTTGTTTTTTGAATCCTTCATGCAATTCTATCTTCCAGATGGTGTTTCTCCATGTTTCTCCCAGAAAATTCAGAAACTCATTGGATCATTGGTTTCCGCATGAAACATGACAGCTAGGCAGACCGATCCCGGGGCCCCCGGGGTCCCAGATTTTGAAGTGGCACCAAGGAGAAGTGGTTTGCATATCATGTGTTGGAGGTGCCATACCAGAAGCTTGGCTTGTCTGGCCGTTCCCTGGTAGATCCTGGTAGTTATGTTGGTTTGGAGTTACGTTGCCACTCGCAACTCGAACACAAACTGAAAACCAATTTTGAAAACCCATCGATTTGTTTCCATTGGGCGGTAGAAGCTGTTCGAGTGTCCTCCAGAGGGTCTGGTTAACCTAACAGATCTTCTTGGTTTGTTCCATGGTTTTAGCAACATGGGAGTTTCATAGAAGCTTTTACGTTTCCAGAGAAGTTGTGAGGATTCCATAGAACTTGTCACGATTCCATGGAAGCCGTCATTTTGTCATCCTTTTGTAGAAGTTGTCATCGTTGCAAAGAAATTGTCATCATTTCGCAACCCCCATAGCGTTTGTGTTTAACTGCTTCGGAGTGGACTACAGTTGGAAACACAACTTCCGTTTGCGGCTAAAAAGAGCTGACAGTCTGGGGCACTTGAACAAAGTATACACTCCTCACAGAACAAACGCTCCCGTCCGTGATTTTTTTTTGGCAAACCAGTTCTGGTTCTCCACAGTTCAAATGGAGTTGTTTCAAAATTTGCAACCCCCTTCCCCTTGTTTCTCATGTCTCTCCCACCTTACAATAGGTGATTTTCCCCCTATTTGGACATTTCGCTTGCTTAATGCTGAGGAAATGGGGTTCAGGGCTCCGTTGTATTGAACAATGTGGTACACGATCCCTTGTGAGCAGTGCTCAAAACCCTCTGTCATTCCATATATAATCCAGGTTGGTCAATGTGGATCCCCACCACGGATTGTGATAATCCATGACATATCAAGGGTAGTACAACTTCCCGTATTGACTGGTTGGTGATATATGCCATTGTATCTCCATTAAGTCCCAATTCCATTAATTAAATCCCATCATACTCATCAACCAAGAGGGTTTTCCATGAGTTTTTCATGATATTTCATATCTTTCATGGTTCAACCCTCCATAAATTGATCACCCAGGAGCTTCGGGAGCCCCTGGCCATGCAGCCGAACCAGACGGGTGACCGGAGACTTTGGCACGTCACAGTGCAGATCAACGCCTCTACCATCGTGGGAGGACCTGGTGGAAAGGTTTGGTCTTTAATTGGTTTTTATCATTTGAATACATACATACATACATACATACATACATATATATATATATATATATACGCGCAACGCCTGGGTTTTGCCCAGGCGTTGCAGCGTAGAGGTTTCCCATTCCCAAACAAATGTTGATGCAACGTCACAAAATTCCTATGGGAAAAACAACAAAGGTAGTAGGGAATATTAAACTCCCACCCCCATTAAACCTTAAATTCCTATGGGAAAAACAACAAAGGTACTAGGGAATATTAAACTCCCACCCCCTTTAGACTTTAAATTCAATTGGGAAGGTCAACAAAGGTACTAGGGAATATTATACTCCCACCCCCATTAAACCTTAAATTCCTCTGGGAAAAATGGTACTAGGGAATATTAAACTCCCACCACCGTTAAACTTTACATTCAATTGGGAAGATCAACAAAGGTACTAGGTAATATTAAACTCCCACCTCCGTTACACTTTACATTCATTGAAGATCTTCAATAAGGGTTTAATTCTACCACCCCCGTTAAACTTCCACATTCATTGAAGATCTTCAATAAGGGTTTAATTCTCCCACCCCCGTCAAACTTCTACATTCATTGAAGATCTTCAATACGGGTTTATTCTCCCACCCCCGTTAAACTTCTACATTCATTGAAAATTGAAGATCATCAATAAGGGTTTAATTCTCCCACCCCGTTAAACTTCTACATTCATTGAAGATCATCAATAAGGGGTTGATTCTCCCACCCCGTTAAACTTCTACATTCATTGAAGATCTTCAATAAGGGTTTAATTCTAATGATGATGATGATTATGATGATGATGATGATAATGATGATGATGATGATGATGATGATGATTCGTCGCCTGTCGTCATTGCGGGTCCGGGCAAAACCCAGGCATTTGCCGTATATATATAATATGTATTCCTAATCTGTATATATAGATGTGATTCATAGTTTTTGTTTGTTTTTTTGTTTGCTTGCTTGCTTGTTTGTTTGTTTGTTTGTTTGTTCGGATGAGGATGATGTGGATGATGTGGATGATGTGGATGATGATGATGATGATGATGATGATGAGGATGATGATGATGATGATGATGATGCTGATGATGATGATGATGAGGATGAGGATGAGGATGAGGACGAGGACGACGACGACGACGACGACGACGACGACGACGATGATTAACATATACTGTATAGGAGTGCAGGCGCTGACAACTGGATTTTTTCACCAACAAAGATGCGGACACAATCTTGGGACACGGGATATCCCCACCAAAATCGTGTCATTGATTGTAGTTGGTAATTTAACCTTTGGCACTGGAATGGTGCCCCATGCTGATGCGTTCTTCAAATTTCAGGGCATTTTCTTGCCATCAAACCTTAATTCTTTTGTTTCAAGGATTTCAAACTGCTTCCATCCATTTTTTTCTGGAATGAAGGAACCAAGTATAAGCAACCCCGAAAAAGCTAGAGCATACCATATTATACGTATGATATTATATAGGTCGACAAACACTTAGAACATCATTTGGACAACGCTCCTCCAACATTTAACAGGGGTAGATGTTCTAAGTGTCACACTTAGAACATCCCCCAAAAATCCACATTTAGAACATGAAAATTCTACATGATGATGTGATGTTCTAAGTGTGTGTGCCGGTGCAGTTGGAAAACGTTTGATGTTCTAAGTGTTTGTCGACATATATACTGAAACAATGGTAAATTACCTTTTCTTTTTTTTGGTCGGTACTATACAATCACCTGATTTCGGTCTGGTGTATTTCTATACTCCAGCCAGATTATTAAGATTCTACCTTTTTTTCACAAAAATCCCAGAATTGGTTGAAAGGAACATTGCAGGACCCATATTTCATAGAAAAAACGTCGCGTTCCCTGAAACCAATCCATGGACAAAGAGTTGTGATGATCTGTGGCTTCCCATGTTGCGAAGGTGATGCCGGCGGCGCAACAGGCGCCCGCAATCGTGAGCTTAGGCGCCGCAGTTTGGGCCCATGGAAACGGACTGGAGACCTGGAAAATATGGGGAAAAATCGGAAAAATAACATTTTGGAAAGACTTTTCTATCTCTACTACCACTAGGCTTAAGTCGTATCAATCGACCTGAAGTCGTATCACACCTGCGTGCGCGCAGTGTTTCGTATAGATTTTGATAGTTCTTTATTTGATGGGTTATTGATTCGAACACTTTTTCATCGCTGTGCGCAATGTTTTGTTGACATGATTCTATTTGACCCTACTAGCCCTAGCGTTAAGTCGTATCAGCTCGTAGAAGTTGTATCGGGAGGCCGTGCGCCTGGAAAAAGTTCAAGTTTGGCTGCTGCTTCCTCCTCCTGCTGCTGCTTCCTCCTCCTCCTGCTGCTGCTGCTGCTTCCTCCTGCTGCTGCTGCCGCTGGTGCAAACATTTTGCCGAAAAAGAAAATTACAGTCTCGGTCGGCTTGTTTGGCGCTGGCGGGAGATACGGGCGGGAGACGCCAGCAGAGAGAGGGAATGTTTACAGAAGGCAGAACTTATGAAACATTCAAGCGGAAGCGGATGTTGACAGCGGTGTGCCACTGGGTTTTCAGATTTTAACGTTGTTGATATGATGATGTTGCCCATAGCTATTACATGGAAATCTATGTTTGTTAGGAAACAAAGTTAAAGATCTGGGAGGGAGGCCGTGTGCCATGGTGATTCCTAAATATATCCTTTGAAAACATAGTTTTAACATATGTGAATACCTCAGTGTGCGCAATGTTTTCTTCATTTTTGGAGATATAACAACATTCCTTGAAAGCCGGTGTGCCATTGGGATTTTGATATTTTGATGTGACTTTTGCCCAGTTGATGTGACTTTCTTCCAACTCGGTGTTACATGGGGTTGATGTGACTTCTGCCCAACTGATGTGACTTAAACCCTTCGCTAGTATGTCGGGATTGTGTATAATATATTATAATATCACCTTTTTTTGGACATGGGTGGTGATCATTGCCCCTGTGGTTTTAAGGATTGAATGGCCCATTTTTAGGGGAGTATCCAAGGTGGGGATCGATGATCACTTGAAGGGGTGATCCACAAGGATGATACCACTTTTTGGCCTTGGAAAACACCAGGAGTTGGGATGAAATTCTCACAAGACTTGACCAAATCTTCTTGGGAGTTGCCAATATTCCATGGTTAATATTGGATCATCATCTTCCCATCTTATCCGCATCAAAACGATGATTTTCCCCGTTAAAACTACCGTAGAACAGCCACAAAAAATGTGGCATTCCTGGAGCCTGGCGCCCTGGCGCAGTGCTTGGCGCTGGTCTTGGTGGTCGGGGTCCTGCAGCTGCCCCCACTTTTGAGTTTAGCTGGGGCGCCAAGCGGCGGTGGGGAATCTCCAGTGATATTTCTAGGATTGGGAATGATTGGGATTGGGGTGATGGGATGAAGAAAACTTGGGGTATGGGTTGAAATGGGTTGTAAACTATTCGTGGCTGGGTTTGTAGACCGGCTTACCGCTTACCATTCAAAGGTGTCGGGATTGACAAACATATATCGTCTGTGCATGGGATTTGATATGCACACATTTGATCACATTCGTACATTTATACATACAATAAGTTTCCTTTTTGATATATATATAATATATATATATGATATACATACGTAGTATGAATATGTAGATGCTATATGTATATATATATAGATACACACACACATATGTATATATATATATATACATAGATCATACAGTACATACATACATACATATTTTCTGGTATTGGATTCACATATCCCCAAAGTGCCTAGTGTCCAGCCAGGACAGCGTGGAACTGCCATGGTTTTCCCAAGTGTTCCTTCCAACACTCATATTAAAGTTATATGCCTGTAGAGGTTTCCTAAAATTTTTGGGGGTACCCCGGTACCCCCAGTTCTCATCATTTCTCATCCATTTACAGATGGATTGTCCATGAAATCAACCAGCTATTGGGGATCCATTGATGGAAATCCACCGAGATTTTCCCACAGGTTACTGCGTGCAGAGCGCCCTTGGCGCGGTCGTGCGGCCAGCGGACGGTGTGAGCGGCGAACAGGGCCTGGAAGCCCAGGGAGCTACATCAGAGCCAGACTGGAAAACGACAAAACGACAATATATATATAACATTATATATGATATAAACTATGAATATATATATATGATACATGCGCTACACATATATGTATATGTATAGTATGATATGATATGATACTATATGATATTATTTGCTGTGATGTGATGTGATATGATACGATACCATACAATATACATAGTATAACATAATAAAATATTATATGATATGATATGGTATGAAATAATATAATACAATAAAAAACATGATAAACTCATATATATATATAAACATCATTCTTAGCTTCTGCCCCATACTTGGTTGTTTCCTTCTTTTCGTGTTCTTTTCAGTCTTTTTCCAGGATTTCCAGTTGGTGTCGACCAAGAGCGCTTAAAATCAAGGTGAACTGAAGAGCATTTACTACCACAAGGCGGCAGAGCTGGCTGCCTTGGTGGAGAATCTGAGAATTCTCAGTGCCAGAGTCACAAGTTGGATTAAGTTGGATGAGCAGCCATCAAAATGCTATTTTTTGGGGATATTCATATGGGATGTATAACCAACTATAGTCAAGAGTTGGAGACCCATATGGGGCAATGGTCATCAACCCAATGATGAATAGTGATTCACAAAAACCCATTGTCAGGCATCTCGTTCATGATGGTGGTATGACCATAAACCATATACCATCTTTTGACCATGACACATATATCTAAGTATTGGCAAACAGGCTTTAAATACAGTGGTCTTCAAGAGCGAGGGGGAATGGAACAAAATGGGGGCCTAACGCCAAGCAATACAGAGATATCAACGAGCCACTGGCGAAGGATCTTGTGTGTTTCTATTTTTCTTAGTGCATTTTAGAGAAAGGAAGGAACAATGACCCACCCACGTGATCTTTCTTGAATGGGTTGTAAGAACCTACCAGTCCACCTCTGTCATAGCCTTTCTTGACATCAGCAGCCCCAGCACAAGGTTTTTTGTTGTCGGTTTGCCTCAAATTTGGTACCCCAAGTCCTGTGTGGTTTATAATCTTGTGCTCTTAAAATGGCTATGCATTGGTGGTGAATTCAATTCATTCCCAGTTTGGGAGAAAACAGAATTCCTTGCGCTGCCAAAGACCTTGATTCCCTGCATACTTGGGTCCCTGCTACCGTTTCGGACATGTTTGACTATCCCCAACCTGGGATGATGATCGACGTGGTGACATCATCAGGTTTTGCTGTCGCTCACGGCCCCAAAACGTACAAATAGCATATCTAAACATGTGCACTGGTCAAAATTGAGGTGGAAACTGAGGTTTGCCAGTACTTTCATATCTCAGCTGCTTGTACTTTCATATCTCAGCTGCTTGTACTTTCATATCTCAGCTGCTTGTACTTTCATATCTCAGCTGCTTGTACTTTCATATCTCAGCTGCTTGTACTTTCATATCTCAGCTGCTTGTACTTTCATATCTCAGCTGCTTGTACTTTCATATCTCAGCTGCTTGTACTTTCATACCTCAGCTGCTTGTACTTTCATATCTCAGCTGCTTGTACTTTCATATCTCAGCTGCTTGAGTCCTCTTTTGCAGTCAAAACAGGAACAGATCCCCGATTCAGGGAAGTTAAGCAACGAAAATGGGTGGAAACCAACCATTCTGCGGGGAGAAAATGGGGATGGGATATATCACCAGCAATATGATGTGGGTTTTCCAGGAATGGTTGGTACCCGCAATGGCATGGCAAGTTCTGGAGTTCCGGGGAAAACCCCAGATCCAACCACCATGGTCACCATGCCAGGGGAGAGTGAAGGTTCTTGGGGCCAATACCAAAGTGTGTAGTGACTTGCATCGTGGCTTGGATGGCTCAATTCTATGATACATCCCAATCATAGGAATATAGATGAATAATATGAGTATACATTGTACGTACATACATGCATGCAATGGAATGGAATGGAACGGAATGCAATGCTATGTAATGTTATGTTCTGTATGTATCAGCCATCGCTATTAGTTACTGTAAGTAGTGGTTGGATGGCCATACTTCCGCCTGGAGGCCCTCTTCGGTGCACCTGAAGGACTTCAGGATGATGGGTTCAAGCTCTTCATCCATGCTGCTTGGAGAAATCCTGCTTTGGTTGGGACATTTTTCTTGGAAATATATGGATGTTTTAATCCCATCCCCCTAGGAGCTAATATTAAACACCGCCTACATGGATCCCAAACATGTGTAAATTCCCTACTAAACCATGGTTTCTTGGGGGTGTTCTACATTCGGGGGAAGAGATTTTTGATGTTTGCTGTTATCCATGAAAAAATGAAGGCGGCTTCGTGCAAAATTCCTTTCATCCAATGCTGGGAATAGAGACGCCGCTGGTGATATGGGTACGGCTTATGGATCCAGATCCCATTCAAGTGGTAGATCGCCCAAGTTGCTTGGAGGATGAGGCAGAATGTTGACCTTTTAGGCATGGAAATCTGTGAAAGTGCCATGACCCAAGATTCATGCAGATCAATTCAAGGTCAAGGTGTAGGTGTTTGTGAATTAAGAATGGAACATAGATGTCGACTCCTGATAAATGTTGACCCCTGGGCTGTCTAATTGAAAACCATTTCGGTAGCAGATGTCATCATTTTTGGGGATGGGGCTTCCGTAGTCGAGCTGATCTGATACTCAAAGGACTGCAGGAATTTGAGATCATTAGGGCAGCGATAGAAAGCTCCCTGTGACGTGCGTGAATCGTGGAAGTTGTTAGAGGGGTTGGTTTGTAGTCAGATGTTTTTGGAAATATTTCCACCCACAACTGCCACAGCTTGGGGGGTTCCCATCCAAATCCATCCCGGGGCCCAGTTCCACTTGCCCAGTGGCCTAGGATGAGATTTTTCAGTTGCAGTCCAACCAGATCACCACCAGGTCTACCCTTAGGGGCTCCTGTGCGTGGGGTAGCAACTCAAAGGCTTGGGTCATTTTAGGTAGCAACTCATTCAACTTATCCCCATTTTTGTGGGGCCTTTAGTTTTGCTCAAAATCCCCTGCTTTTTGACCTCAACTTCTCAGAGGTGACCCTCCCCCTTGGACTTTGGAGCATTATTTCGGTCTATTACACCCATATGAGGGATGGTCCAAACTGTGTTGACAGTGGCTAATAAACCCCAAGGAATGTCAAGGGTAGGATGACTACTGGGAGGTTTCCGATTTGCACGGGGGTATCCCCAGTCATCATCCATGAAATCAGATGGATTTTCCATGAAATCAACCGATAAACCATCCATTTGGGGATCATCCATAAAAATGGAACCCCAAAAATACGGTCACTTTTTTTGGGACATTTTATCGACAACCGTCCACAGATTGACTATGGACAGGTGTGACTATGACTATGACTATGTATGCATGACTGTATAAAGTTTCTGCAAGAATCCTGAGGATCGAAATCTCGGACCATGGCCAGATCATCCGATAGCAGGAGTTCGTGGTCTATTCTTCCCTTACTTGTACCGCACTGTAAACTAACATTTGATGTACAAAAATCCGTTGAATTCGGTAGTTTCCGCTAGAAATCAATATAGAAATGGCAGGTTTTCCGTATCTATGTCACTGTTTTCCGGAGGGTACTTCTTGATTCTCGCCAGGGATTTCCATCGTCACATGGTGGCCCTGGCAGCATCGAGCTTCAACAAGAAACGCTCGTTGTTGGACAGAGCCCTTGAGGACGGGTGGCAGCTGGTAAATTGCAATAGCATTACATAGATATGGAAATGGCCCTTCTATAGATGATTTACCTATCAAACATGGTCCTTTTCCGCTGGTTGAAATCATTCGACCAAAGGCTGAATGTGGTCAAGTAGAGAACCGATGTTCGGAAGGATTCCGATTTGCAAGACTTCTGGGAATCCTAAGCGACTGGCAACTTTTCGCGTTTTTCTCCTGGTCTAAGTCGGAATCTTGACCTCGAACCAGGACCTAATCAACCATTGGGGCATGGATAATCCAGCTCCTTCACAGGCTTGGGAGGGTAACGATTACAGGATGGCTAGACCTGGGTGCATTTGGACTCATTGGACCAATATATTCACCAGTTTTTGCCGAGGATCATTGTGAATCCTTAGGCAACGTTAGGGGCTAGCAGCTAGCAGCTAGCAAACCCACAATTTATCCTTTTGCGGGAGTTCCATTTTCAAACCAAATGAAATCACTTTTCTGTGGGTGGACCCCTGGCATTCATCAACCAGGCTGTATTCTGCCCTGGTTGGCACTGTTTTTGATTTTTAGACATCGGCTAATGATAACAAGGATTATTTTTCACCTTATCATTCTATTCATTCTGATCCGCATTATGCTTATTTTCATCATTATGACTATTGTGCTCGTTGTTATGTAATCATCATTTAGAATCTTAGCAATAATGTCATCGTTGTCATTATGATCTTTATATACAAGTATATCTACAGATATATATATATATTAATATATACACATAAAACTCGCATGGTTCTGTATTCTCATCATTCCAAACTATTCATGATGTCTCAATGAATATCATCGTACATCCAAGTACCACCATTTAGTTGGATTATTTTTCCATCAAAACCGCCAGTACGTTTAAGTTCGGGGATTTCCCAGCCAGCCACAGGTCGTCTTGGCTGTCGCTGCCGCCTTGGGCACGATGAAGCGAAACACACAAGGCGCTCTCTGTTACTTCAACAGTTTGCGAACTGGAAACCATGGCCCGTTGAGTTCAATGATTTACACATGAAAAATGGTGATTTTCAATAGCTACGTTAGTTTACTGGAGAGTAGTGGCTTGTTAAGGTTGTCAATACTGTTATACTGGTGACTGGAACATACTGGAATACATAATATACACAGCCGTATCAAGTCATTTTGTTGAACATATTCGATATTCACGTCTTAGTGTACATGTGTAAAGAATACAACATGCTGGGCCAGCACCAATTTACACTAATCATCTAGCCCCTGGGCCAAGTCGGGGTCGATGATTGCTGGTCCATCCCTGCCGTGGATGGACCCCTTAGCGTTTTGCGCTTAAACATACACTATCGGGACCCATCCCTCATTTAATTTGTAGAACATATTGAACATATCTACAAAACCATACCCGAGGAAGGATTCTAGATCATTGGGTTTACCACATGAATCCATGGAAGTTCGAAATCCTGCTTGTTGCTGCTCATTGCACGGGACGGATGGCTTTGGGTCCAAATTTCTTGCCCACGGTCATGTTAGTTTACCCTCTAATCCTGTGGCAATCGAAGTTCAAAACAGCCAAGAGTCGTCACCCTTAAAATTTCTATAGACCATACAATTCCCCATTTTTTTGTTGAGGAATCCCATTAGATCCCCATCCTAAAGTCGTAAACTGGGTCTCCAACACACCTAGGTGTGTCGATGTACGGCTTCGAAAACTTTGACAACGAGTATGCCTTTGGAACTGGGATGAGCTCCAAAGAGAAGGAGAAAGAAAAGGAGGCGCGGCACCGCGGCACTGGGGACATGGTGTGGGACCAAAATTCTGGGAGTTGTATCAGAAAGGAGCCAGGATCAGTTGCAGTAGCCAACTCTCGGATCAAATAATCCTGCTCCAAACTTGGTCCTTTGGGATGATCCGGCGGGTTTTGATCATCCTGGACTGGTTTCGGGATCAAAATTCTTCACCGGAAACTCGGAAACCATGGATTTTCCAATGAAATCAAGGGTTTCCCTGTAAGCTTTGGCCTTACACCAATCCATCGAATTTACCGATTGGGGGGACCATGGAACATGAGGTCATTTTTGCCGGTCTGCTGTAGTTGCACAGGAACCGCCATCGTTGGTGGTTTGCAGATGGATAGTGTGCCTCGTCGATCCGTTCATCGTTTGACCTGTCTAATCTGGTCTAGTCCAATCTCCATACATAATATATAATCCAATTCTCATAGTTGAATTGAACGCACTTTCATACAGATACTCTGTCTATGAAATCTGTCCATCTACCGGCTTAGATTACATGTATAGTCAGCTGCAAGTTTTGGCACAGCTTTCTGAGACAATCTAGCTTCACGATGATGATAACTGGGAATATCCTGATCATAAAAAGTTGATAATGAAGGTTGATTCCCAGTTATAACATCTTGGATAACATGCCCAAGCCATCCCGATCAATTTTATGTCATGCACAATATCCGTTCAATTTTTATTGCAAAAAATCCACCAGGGGAAGGATTCGACTTGGCGCTGAGGAAACATTGCCCCTCTCGCGCGGACGTGGAGGACGTGTTTGGAGACGTTTCTGGCCAGGATTTGCCACTGGGAATGGTAACCATACCACCTATAAAAATGGTGATTTTCCTGGGGGATGGTGCGTTTATGGCCTTGTTTTGAGCACATGATTTAGGAAAACATGATACGTACTAATATGTCTACATACATCTACCACAAGACTTCCAGATTTAACTTAACCAACTTTTCTGTCTATTTGGGGGTTGCTATGTTTATCAGGGTGGCCCGCCCCTGAATCCAGTTGAATTCAGTTCAGTTCAATCATGGTAAGGTCCAGGAGAGATAAGATTGCTTGAACACTTTGATCAAGACCCTCTCAAGAGAAGATGTCAATGTCCCCCCGCAGACTGGGGTCTGTTCGTTGGTTTGGAAGATTCAAGCTCTGGTTGGACATTTACTTGGGTGTGTTCTGAAAACTAGCGCCCAGGTCTTCTTTCTTGACCATTCCCATGATACAATGGTTGTCACTCGTTGTCTCCACTGCATCGTGCTCGTGATTTCATTTTTTGCCCTGGGTGCCTCACTCACAATTTTTGTCCATACCTCCTACACATACATATTTGGTACACATGTACATGTACATGTATATGTACATGTATATGTATATGTATATGTATATGTATATGTATATGTATATGTATATGTACATGTATAGTATAGGTATATGTACATGTATATGCATATGTATCTGTATATGTATAATATATGCCATGCTCAAAACTTGGGTCAACTGCCCATCTTCGGTCATCCAGTGGGCTCCAGGAGGAGCAGCGCGGTGAGCGCGAGCGAGGCCGCGAGTCGCGGTCGCTGGCCACCACCGCTGGGGTGCGCCTCGCGGCGGAGACGCTCTACAAGGAGGTGCCGTGGCGCTACCGGGGGTACCCATGGGATCCCATGGGTATGTCATTATTGGCAATGAATGGGGTCTTTCACTGACTGGAATGGGGAAATATGGGTGATATTAGATAAGTGGGCCAAAATGGGTGAAAGCGGTTTCACCACATTTCCAAGTGATATAACGGGGGAATGGGGGATTAAGCCAAGCATATTTTATTGGGTAGATAATACATAAGGGAATACAATGGGGATATGACCAGCAACAATAGGGATGTATGAAAATTGTTTTTGAACGATCAATAAATTAATCATCAAAATAAGGATATATGTAAAACATTGTAAAACCACAGGGTATGGAATGGGTATATAATGGGGATATATAATGACTAATTTAATATAATACTATGGTACTAGGTTGTCTGAACATTTTGGAAAGACCCCTTAAATCCACTGGTTAATAATGTATTTCCCTAGAATTTGGAGTATCTGCGATTTTTGGGAATCGATCACAACCCATTCTTTTCATTCTTTTTTGGGGAACATCCAGGGTACAAATGAGCATCCCGGTTTTTGAGCTAGCCATATGAGAAACATCTTGAAAAACTATGGGAAGAAATGTGACAAACATATGGGAAAAATATCGTCACCATATGAGAACAGTATGGGATTATAGGAGAACACTTGAAAAAAGGAAAAAACTGGGAAGACATCTAAGAGTCAGGCTTTGGGATGGTATGTTGATATCTATTATCAAAGAAGGGGGTTTTGAACTTATATTTGTTTTGGGACAATTTTTAATGAACAGATCCATGTAGATATGATTTCGGGATCTCCCCGCGCCAGGAACAGACCTTCGACTGGTTGAAGTCTCTCGTGCTGAAAAAACACGCCATTTCGGGTAGGAAATCTTCACCATGTCAGGGTGAGATTCAGGGCTTGATCTTATTTTGTCTGAAATCCGCGGGTTTTGCGTACCCAATGTTTTGACTCATAGCCATCAAACTGTTGTAAATGCGAATGTTTGCAGATATTTGATGCTTATATCTACATTTTCTTTGTAGTTTTATACCCCAGCATTTGGAGAAGATTGTCAATCCCAAGCATATCTTTGCTGGTAATACCCAAAATGTGTGCTGGAAAGACTCTGAACATCCACATTCTTGGTCCCACGTTTCATTGGATTTGGTTGAAGGGAACATCTACAGGTTTTCCCCATGGTTTTCCCCTTGAAATACAAGGATTTCCTGTAAATTGAAGCCTTAAGCCCGCCCTAGGCTGTTAAACTTCTTGCCCGAGCACTCTCTGCCGCAGCCTGTGAATGCCTCCCAATGCAGTCGGGAAGAGGTGCCTTTGTTGAAAAAAGGGGATGGGATGATTTTTTAATGGCCTCCTGGTCAAAACATGATCTGACCAGAAACCAACTAACATGGGATTTAAAGAGGCGATTTGATCAATATATCTGTGTAAATGAGGTAAATTCTGACGACGTCACTGGCCAACTTCGTAAATGATGCTTAGGATTGAGGGAATCATACTCGAATGGCTATATTTGAGGTTGGTGAATTGTTCTAATATACCCAGTCCAATGGTTTTGGGTCATGAACTATGAATGTCTCTACCAGCAAGCTGCTGGAGGCTCAAGGTGCAAAAGCCAGGTGAATCGGGCACTGGCTTCGTGAGAGAGAGAGAGGTTGGTGGTTGATGGCTGCAATTTCAGCTATTTCTATATGATTTAAAGCATCAACCCAGCCTGAGATGATGATGATGATGACGACCGCTGACAACCAATACTGTCACCTGGGGTTAAATGAACTCTGGCTGGGGACTTTGGGCTCCCCAAAAGTGACCTCGCCCATCCCCCAGTCTGTAGCTCCCCTAGAACATTGGACCACAAAATGAACAGATCATTTTTTTTGCCCCTTCCAACCCAACTTCCTGGTACATTGAACTCCAAACTGTAGCAATCCAGGGTTTCTGGGCATTGTTTGTTGATAAATGGAAGCCAACTATTAAACCAGGTTGTACAACCCAACAGCTAACCAAATATTGGTTGATGCTTCCTGTCATTTAAGACCCTGTCTGGGGGGCCGACCCTTTATTCATCAGGTGAAAGAATCAATCACGATCCGTATGGGTTTGGCCAGTACACCGAACAATTGAGATTTTGATATCATGGCATTTTACCTATCAAAATCCTTTTCCCCATCAAAATGCCATGGGAAAATCATCGAAAACAATTTCTGATCATTGTTGGATACCCTCACCCAAATCGACATAGGCAGTGCCATCAGTCGGGGGTTAAGTATACAGACAATTAATTTTCCCCAAAATTGGCTATCTTAAGGGTCTATGTTATTGTTGCTTATTGTGTGATCATGCTAAGCATTTGTTATAATCACGACTCAATAGTCTATGAGTATTTCCATCATTGTTCATTATGGGATTACTTTATGGGATTACTTATTAAGTCGTGATTATGAATATTCTTCTTGCTATTTTAACATAATTTACCATTATTATGAAGTCCATGACTCTTACTATCATCATTTAGGGGATACCAAAAATGCTCAGCCAGCCACCGCCGAGGCGCGCAAGCTTGCAGAGTCCTTCCTCCGGTCCATGCAGATTGCGCCTCGGCCGGAACGCACTTCCAGCGGTGGAAGCGGAACGCTGGCAGCGGAAGACTGAAACACTGTGGGGTTGCAAATCTGGGTCAATCTATATATACACACACATACATACATTATGTTACATTATGATTATATACACGTACATTATGTGTATATGTATATATATATGCATACATTATGTGTATATATATATGCATACATTATGTGTATATATATACATTATGTATATATTAAGTATACACACATATACACACACATTATGTTTTACACACATCAAGAATATATATATATATATACATACACACATCACATACATTATGTATATATACACACATCACATACATTATGTATATATATACACACATCACATACATTATGTATATATACACACATCACATACATTATATATATATATATATTGTACAGATATATACATACGTAATTACCCAATTTTTATCCACAAAAGCGACTTTTTTCATTCCTCGAAGCTGGGGGATTTTCCAGCCATGTTTGATTAACAACGGTTGGCATTGGGGGATCTGATCGACAACGGGCCACAAAGCATGGGAATAGAAAAAACATATAGGGATATAATCTTTATGTGGTAATCTCACTAGTAATATATTTTTAATAATACCCATGAATAATAAGAAAGATAATATACAACAACCACTCAACTGGGGATAGTTGATGCCACTCATTTGTGCTGAAATTTGACATTTTTTTTTGCGTTTACCACATCATGTTTTTATGGCCAAATCTTTCGAGGAAAACCAGGTTCAGATCAAGTACAGTAAACGTGCTCATGCACTTTTCTGCTGAGCTTGAGTCAAAGTTTTAGATAACATTGATCTGCTTCATGGTTAAGAAAAGGCGCTAACTTCTGCAGATTTGAAAGGATTGAAATCTGACGCTATAGCAACATCACAAAGTTGGTAGGGATGTCCTGCAACAGCCCAATTTCGGACTTCTCACAAGCAGAGACCGCATCCATCCACTTCTTTTGTAACCAGGCAGTTCTGGACCCAGCTACAGGTTAAGATTTGCGAAACTCATTGAGCTGGTCAAGGCCTCTAAGCCACAGCATGGTTGGTAGCCAGGACCCAGGATCCAGTCCCCCATTGGAGTAGCTTTCAGTTCCTAAGTTCCGGTCCTTTCAGTTCCGAGTCGCGAACCATCACTGGTGGGTGCCAGGTGTTTCAGGACTTTCAAACATCCAGAGAGCAGCACCTTGGTTGTTTTGTGTAGCGACTGAAGTGGGGAGTCGGATGGTGAACTGCTTTCGAAGCAGTTTCATAATACACCCCAATGTTTGAAAAACAAAAAGGTACACGGATCCAATACTTTCCTAAACCGCAGCTATCTACAGGCCTCCTGACACACACACACACAAGGACGACCTGTGAGGAAAGCGCGAAGCGCACCTCCCCCAGAATCGGAAAGACAAAAAGCAATGCTGTTCCCACGAGGATCAATATGGCTTCAATGATTCATGAAAGTTCCAATATCACACATTCGATCTAAACCAGTCACGGCTTTCCCATAAGATATGGTTTATCTCTCATATTTACAGGAGCTTTGCGTATCAAAATCTGCACCATTTCGCAGCATCAACCACCGTCCTTTTCCTTGGATGTTGGCACCGCTTGAGGTTTGACATCGCTCCCCCTGTGGATGCCAAAGAGCGCAACAAGGCAGAGCAGGAGAGGGCTGCCGTGCGGGGTACCCATGATCATCGCACGTAAGACGTGGGAAGCTAACAAAGGCATACCTCTCCACTAGTCAACTAATCTGGACACCTTTTTCAGGTTCCATGTGAAATTTTAGGCGAATGCAGGAACCATACCTGTGGAGGGAGACATCTAGGGATGTGCTTGTGACATAGCCTGGGTGGTATTTTAGATATATTATTCTCATTGTTTTTCCCTTGAAATTCATAGTTTGTCAGAAAAACGAGGCTTTACATCGTGAGAGAGTTTGAGATGGTGTACCAGTTTTTACAAGTTTTTCGTTTCGAATGTCACTTGAAATCTGTCCGTTTCTTGAAAAATAAGACATTCTTGATAATGAACTGAACTGAGTCTAAGTCTAAGTCCAAGTTTATTGGTAGATCTTGCGGAAGGGTCACCTTCTCATCAAAAAGTGGTTGGTGAAGTCCTGGAGCATTGCAGAGATATTCCCAACAGTGAAAGTTGGGTTTCAATCTCTGGGTCTGGGAGTGGTGCGCGGAACGGAACGGAACAGAATCCTTGAACCTGGAACTCTTGGACCTTCCTGGAGCCCTGGAAACCTACAAATCCTGGAACCGTGCAACCTTAGAACCTTGCGCTGTTACGGTGCAACCTTGGAAAAACATCCTGGAACTTTGGGTTCCTACCCCGGACCCTTGCAA